AACCTGACAGTAAATAATTCTTGTTCACCGCTTGTAATGGCCAGCCACTGGCATGTTACATACGTTGTTAAATATGGTATGTGCTATTATAGGTGTAAGTGTTGGCACTGTTCTGCTATTGGATCTTCGTATATCAATTGCCATGTGCCTGTTGCAGTACTTATACTATGGCATGACTGGCACCATACCCTTGGTTGAGATCTAGTTTCTAGTGACTGGATTTATCTTCCTGGTACCTAAAGAGCTCTAGACACTGAGACAAACATCCACATTCATTTAGTCTTTCTTCTGTAAAACACAGACTGCTTGCTTAATACTGCAAAAGAACTTTAGATATTATGAACCCTCAATTCCTTTTTCTTTTTTTTGTTCTTTTTTAGGGTCTTCATCAACCTGTTTCTTACATATCTTAATATTATGTAGGTAGAAGTAGTGAAATCCCTCAATGATTCAGATGGACCTCAGTGGAAGCATTCTCTATTTGGAAATCCAAGTGAACCTGAAACTTTTAGGTTTGTTGTACTTATTTTATTTATAATGCTTTTGTGAATTTTGCTGTTTATTCATTATATTCATTAATAAGCTAGTTATGTTTTATGTGATTCAGTGAAAACAAGAACTTTTTGATGGAGAATTAATGCTCAAAAGGATCACAAAAGACATGCATGACAATAGTTTTTCAGCTTGTGTCGATTTTCAAGAAAAACCTTTTTCATTTGTCTTCATTATAACTTGGGCATATGTTGTTTTATGGATTAAATACACTGAATTTCTTTGGGTATATAATTGATAGAATCAATTTGGTGTCAGTGCTAAACCAGCATACTGGTGTTTGTTTCATTGCCAGCATTTATGCCAATAGCTATAGCACAATGCAAGTTTCTTCCTTGATCAGTTCTGATGTACATTACTACTTATTTGTAGATTACTTGTACAAAAGACAAATGATGGATGAGGTTGACTTCTGTTACCGTTTCGATTATTTACTGTAAGTCTTGTTCAACTTTGCAGGAGAAGGTGCTTAATCGCTGAGGCACTTGCTGAAAAGCATTTTGACTTGGCTTTCCAAGTTATTTATGAATTTAACCTCCCAGGTAAGGCATTCATGGCTCCATAATGCTATCTTGATATTTATTATTCTTTGTTTTTCTCTATTCATTTGTGGGATCTACTCTCTTAAATAATTTAATTATGGATCTATTTCTTCTTGGCCAAGGCTGATGTGTACTGCATATCATTCATCTTTCAGCTGTTGACATCTATGCTGGTGTGGCAGCATCCCTTGCAGAGAGAAAAAAGGGCGGTCAATTAACAGAGCTCTTGAAGAATATAAAGGGCACAATAGATGAAGATGATTGGGACCAGGTAAAGAATAAAGATTTTTTGATTTTCCATATTTTGTCATGGATGATATTAACCTCTGGTTAAATTGGTTGTCATCTAAACCAATGCCTCTATTCGATTAGGTTCCTACCAAACTAATTTATTTTTCTAAGGAAACATGTTTTTTCACCTTTTAGTACGGTAGAACATTCAGACTATCTGATATTGATTGTGTTATTAAATTCATAATAGAGGTGCCAACTCCTGATTTGATCCGCCAACTTGGTCCTTACCTGACACAAGATCAGTTGAGTGGTCACCTACGTGTTTGCGTCTCAAATAGGTAGACACAATTGACCTGATTAATAATTTGGGTTGAGTTCAGGTTTAGGAAGTTGATTCGATAGACTGAAACAAACCTGATAGACCAGTTATACTCGAATGCGTTAAATGTCATTTCAGGGCTAGGATGCCAATTGTATCATTTTGTCTTATAAATAGGTCAAATTGTGTCATTACAGGTTTGATCAGATTTTAGTTGAATCTTGTTGAAATGCCTTAATCATGTCATCCTTGGTGGGGTTTGAATTTAGAGTTTTGTTTTAGTATATTGATCTTAGCCCGACACGATCATGGACTGACTGACCTGACCCATTAGTACTCCTAGTTCCTATGGGCCCATTCGACTTCATATTTTTTTGTTCAAAGTTCATAAAAATGCTGCCTTCCTCATGCCAAAGATTTCAACATAATGAGATATTATTGATTGTTTACAAATGAATGTTTTAGTTTGTAAATGTTGAGAACATATAAGCTGGCAATGTTTTACTTTCATGATTCTGTAAAATTAGTACCTCACTCTGTTAGAACAATTGAGGTTTATAAAAAGTTTTATTTTTTTATTGCTTCAATAAAAAGTCTTAAAAGCTAAGTGTGATCGAGCCAGTGGACATGAATCTGTACATCAGTTTGTAGTGATGGTACTGATATATATATATATATATATATATATATATATATATGTATATGTATATATATATATGTATATGTATA